TCTGTTTGTGTTGTTGTTTGGTTTGGGTTTTTTGTTGTTCAGTTTTTTATTTTTGTTTTTGTTTTAGAAGCAGGGTCTTTGTACACACCCCTGGAACTCACAGTCTTGTACCGCCATGCCTGGCCGACAGCTGGTGTCTTTCATGTTATTAAGTTTTCACGCAGATGAATAAGAATATACCAAGAGCACTCACTACAGTGTCACGTGGGAGAATAGTTAAACACGTTAACAGTGACTCCGTTCTATGGAGAGCTCTTCAGAATTCCACATAAAATAAGATAATAAATGGGATTTTGATATAGAAATGAGTTGCCCATATGTACTGACATGTCCACGTGTATGGCAGATGTCCATATGTACTGACAGATGTCCACATGTATGACAGATGTCCACATATATGACAGATGCCCACACACACTGACAGATGTCCACACGCACTGACAGATGTCCACACGCACTGACTTGTTCACGTGCACTGACAGATGTCCACACGCACTGACTTGTTCACGTGCACTGACAGATGTCCACACGCACTGACTTGTTCACGTGCACTGACAGATGTCCACACGCACTGACTTGTTCACGTGCACTGACAGATGTCCACACGCACTGACTTGTTCACGTGCACTGACAGATGTCCACACGCACTGACTTGTTCACGTGCACTGACAGATGTCCACACGCACTGACTTGTTCACGTGCACTGACAGATGTCCACACGCACTGACTTGTTCACGTGCACTGACAGATGTCCACACGCACTGACTTGTTCACGTGCACTGACAGATGTCCACACGCACTGACTTGTTCACGTGCACTGACAGATGTCCACACGCACTGACTTGTTCACGTGCACTGACAGATGTCCACACGCACTGACTTGTTCACGTGCACTGACAGATGTCCACACGCACTGACTTGTTCACGTGCACTGACAGATGTCCACACGCACTGACTTGTTCACGTGCACTGACAGATGTCCACACGCACTGACTTGTTCACGTGCACTGACAGATGTCCACACGCACTGACTTGTTCACGTGCACTGACAGATGTCCACACGCACTGACTTGTTCACGTGCACTGACAGATGTCCACACGCACTGACTTGTTCACGTGCACTGACAGATGTCCACACGCACTGACTTGTTCACGTGCACTGACAGATGTCCACACGCACTGACTTGTTCACGTGCACTGACAGATGTCCACACGCACTGACAGATGTCCACATGCACTGACAGATGTCCACACGCACTGACAGATGTCCACACTCACTGACAGATGTCCAGACGCACTGACAGATGTCCACATGCACTGACAGATGTCCACACGCACTGACTTGTTCACATGCACTGACAGATGTCCACACGCACTGACAGATGTCCACATGTATGACAGTGTCCACACGCACTGACAGATGTCCACACGCACTGACATGTCCACACACACTGACAGATGTCCACACGCACTGACAGATGTCCACACGCACTGACATGCCCGCATGTATGACAGGTGTTCCTTAGTGAGGACTAAGAAGGTGCAGTCAGTGTGTAGGACATGAGTGTGCTATGTCCACTTCTGCAGGAACATCTTCATACACATAGCTATGCGCAACCATGTGCCGCAGCTGTGGATGTCTGTGTGTGTGACAAAATGTCCGGGAAGATCCCCCTCCCGAAGAACACGTCTGGGAAGTGAGGACTTTTACCTGGTCACCTGCTCTGCTTTGATTTTATTTGTACAAAGCACGTATGACTTAGGCAGTCATAGGTTGGCTGCCTAAGAAGAGGTTGGCCGGTCACGTGTAGTTTTAATTTTCAAACATGAATACTAATCAGGAAAAAAACAAAAAATATTCCTCTGTGTCCCTCTCGGTCTGTCAAGCTCTTTGGGGCCTATTGATCTGGACACGGCCTGGGTCTTTCTAGCCGAGCACTTTAGGGGGAAACAGTGTCGTTAGAACACGGTTCATAGCCCAGGGATGAGCTAACTCGATAAGCTTTGGGGAGACACAGCAAACCGATTCCAGCAGTGAGAACCCTGAACACACGAGGCTGGCGTTTGTTTCTCACACACTCGAGGGAGGAACTGACATCTGAGCTCTGGGAACCGAGCGGGAAAGACCGGGTCTCCTTCCCCTGACACGGGCATGGCCTGAGCTCCATGCAGAGCTTGCCTGGCACACAGGGGGCCCCAGCCTCAGATGTAGCTGGTTTGGTTTCCACACCCCGCCCTTTCAGATGAGCTGCTGGGAAACGAACAAAACACACAGCACAGATGGGGCAGGAGTTGCTCCCCAGAGAGGGCGACATCACGACAACCCCAACCACAGCTGTCCCTTGGTGTCCAGAGAGGACCCAGAGACTAAAAACCTGAATGCTGTAAACTGAGGCTGTATTTACATATGGCTGCACACATTTCTCCAGCTACTTTATTTCATCATTAGATTACTCATGAAATCGTGATGCAATTAAATGCTAAATAAATCTAGAATAATAAACATAAGGGAAGCTGCCTGTTCGTACTCGGCACAGATGCAGTTTTTCTTTTTCTTTTCTTTTCTTTTTTTCTTTTCTTTCTTTCTTTCTTTTTCTTTTTCTTTTTCTTTTTCTTTTTCTTTTTTGAGACAGGGTTTCTCTGTGTAGCTTTGGAGCCTATCCTGGCACTCGCTCTGGAGACCAGGCTGGCCTCGAACTCATAGAGATCCACCTGCCTCTGCCTCCCGAGTGCTGGGATTAAAGGCGTGCACCGCCAACACCCGGCTGAGATGCAGTTTTCTCATATGAATATTTTGCATCTCAGGTTAGTGGAATCCACAGGTGAAGAACCAGCAGATAGGGAAGGCAGCCGTACCTTCTGTATTCCTGCAAATTATGGGTCTCTTCTGAAATCACTTATGGAAAATGGAAAATGGCTAGAAAACAGCACAACGCCTGTGAGGCTGTCACTAACTCCACAGTGTCAGTTCTCACGCAAGCCCACGTGACACTGTCACCTCCATTTGGAGCAGCGCGGTTAGGTGGAGGTGCAGCTGAGGAAACTGCAGGGTTTAGCTTCTCCAGAGCGACACTTGGCTACCTAAGCTGACCTTTGCCTTAAGCTGCTAAAAACTAAACAGTTCACACTTTGTCTGCTCTGGATACATTGATAAAGTAATTGATTCTGCTTTTAGATACAGATGAAGGACATAGCGGACGAACTTTTGCTGCAGAGGCCTGACAGGAAAATTGGAGTTTGGAAGGCAAGTAATTATATTCTCTCTCATAAATCCTTCTCTGTCAAAGTAGCACACGCACACGCACGCGCACACGCACGCACACACGCACATGCGCGCACACACACACAGACACTGTCTCTCATATACACACACATTCATGTACACACTCTCACACACACACTTATACATACACTCATACACTCACACACACATACACACACACTGATATACACACTCATTCTCACACACATGCTCTCTCGTACACACTCATGTATTACAAGCTATAATTTTCATACACAATTACATTACACACTCACATATATACTCTCTCTCTCTCTCTCTCACACACACACACACACACTAACAGTCATATACTAACTCACCCTCACATACTCTCTCTCTGTCGTTCCTGACCCTCACTCTTTAAACCTCCGACTGATGGCCGTTGTGTTCCCATTGGCAGATGGAACTTGAGGGAAAGGGCAACCCCGCAGAGCTCCTGACCTCTCAGCCGTGGAGCACACAATTGACCTTAAAACACTCACTTTCTGCCCTGAGGCCCTAGGTTTGGTCCCCAACACTGGTGTGGATGGACAGACACACACCTATTTAATTGTATGTGTCGTGTTGGACAAGCTGTGCTTACAGAGTTTGGGGGTCTAGTGTCAGGAGAGTGGATCACACAGAAGGGATGAGCCGCAAGAATCAAGACCGGCAGGCTAAGTCACCCTTCATTACCCCTGTGCTCCAAACTGCAGCTGAGCTTGGAAGCAACTGTGATTTTGGAGATTATTACAATCTCTGTAATGCGATGCTTTAGTAGATGGTACATTATGCTTCTTAGCAAGTGCAGCAAGCACATTCCTGTTAGTGAGTCTATAAGTTCCTGAGGATTTAGCCTCTGGAGGCCATGAAAATCGAGACCCAGGTAACCCCTCCAAATTAGCGAGCAAAGTGTAAAGGTTTATCCGCATATCAGAGGAATTTGTTGGGGAGCCGACTTCTTCGTCTTCCTCTCTCAAAGGGAGGCGCTCTTTTGAAAGGTTTGTTTTTGTCATTTTTTTTTTATTGAAGTACTAAGTACAATGAGCTTATAGTTTATATTACTGTGAATTATATTTTGCATTATTTTCTATTTATTTAAATTACAGGTTTTGGTTAAATGGCTAAGTTTTAGTGTCTTAAGAAGCAGGTCTTAAAACAGTCTTTGTTGAGTGGGTTTTAAATAAACATCCCACTCTAATCCATGGTTGTTCCTGTTTATAGGGTTGTAATCTTAATGTGGACCAGATGTTGAGAGCCTTGAGTTTTTGTCCAGAGAACGTGGCATGTGCCTCCCCAAACAGTGATAGACATCTGTGTCATGTGTCTGGG